CTCTAGACTGGCAGAGCATAGGGTCGCAGGGACAGGAAGTAAAAATTTTGTGAGTGGGTCACTAGGGGTAATAGTGAGTGGTGTCACACCTATTTCCACGCCTTGATTCCTGGAACCATGAACCCTGGCAATGGAAGAAACAGCATAATATATTGGATGCTGGTTTAGAGCATATACAGCCTCCTGGAGAACATTACTCCAACCCTGCAAAGTGTTGCCACCTAGTTGGCACCATAATTGTATCTTTAGAAGGCCATTCCATCGTTCTATCAATCCAGCTGTTTCAGGATGATGGGGAACATGGTAAAACCAGTGAATTTCATGAGTGTGGGCCCATTACCATACTTCATTTGCTGTGAGGTGGGTTCCTTGATCTGAGGCAATGATGTGTGGGATACCATTACAGTGGATAAGGCATTCTGTGAGTCTATGGATGGTAATTTTGGCAGAGGTATTACGTGCAGGAAAGGGAAATCTATATCCGGAGCAAGTGACTATCCAAGTAAGAATGAAACACTTCCCTTTCCGTGATGGAAGTGGTCCAATGTAATCAACCATCCACTAGGTTGCCTCGAGGAATGGTGCCACATTGGGGACTCAGTGTTGGTCTTTGCTGCTCGCAGATTGGACTTCCAGAAGTGGCTGTAGCCAAGTCAGCCTTGGTGACTGGAAGTCCATGTTGCTGAGCCCATGTATAGCCTCCATCCCTGCCACCATGGCCACTTTGTTCATGAGCCCAGTGGGCAATGACAGGAGTAGCAGGGAAAGAGGATGAGTGGCTTCCACAGAACGTGTCATTCTATCCACTTGATTGTTAAAATCTTCCTCTTCTAAGATCACCCTTTAGTGAGCAGTCACATGAGATAAAAATATCTTCACTTCTTTGGCCTATTTAGAGAGATATGTCTACATACCTCTTCCCCATACCTCCCTATCACCAATTTTCCAATCATGCTCCTTCCAAGTCCCTGACCATCTGAACAAACTATTGGTCACAGCCCATGAATCAGTATACAATTGCACATCTGGTCATTTCTCCTTCCAAGCAAAGTGAACAACCAGGTGCACCGCTCAAAGGCACCATTGGGGGGATTTTCCTTCACTACTCTCCTTCAGGGAGGTCCCAGAAAGGGGCTGTAGGGATGCCGCTGTCCACTTTCGAGTGGTGCCTGCATACCGTGAAGAACCATCTGTAAACTAGGCATGAGTTTTCTCTTACCCAGTCAACTGATCATAAGGAACTCACCATGGGGTCATAGGTGCAGACTGGGAGATGGAAGATAATGTGACAGGAGTGGAGACCACAGGCATTTGGGTCACTTCCTCATGGAACTTACTTGTGCCATCAGGTCCTGCTCAGGCCCGATCTCATACATAGCACTTCCATTTAATGATGTAGTGCTGCTGTGTACATCTGACTTGATGGCTCTGTGGGTCAGACAACACCCAGTTCATGATGGTAAGCTCAGGCCACATGGTGACTTGATGTCCCATGGTTAAGCGTTCAGTCTCTACTAAGGCCCAATAACAAGTAAAAATCTGTTTCTCAAAAAGAGAGTAGTTATCTTCAGAGGATGGCAGGGCTTTCCTCCAAAATCCTAAGGATCTG